TCCTCTGAAATACTGTATAAATAGGTCATTTTTCATCAGCTTATTTCATTCTTGTGGCACTCTCTGGCCACAATAAAGATAAAACATCCTTTGTTTTTTATTGCATTGTGACAAAGACCCTTAAGCTCCTTTCCCCCCCCTCCAAACTTTTACAAGAGGAGCTCCTTTTGTCTATAATCTTTGATGACTGATAAATAGTTCTCAACCACAGATTAAGAATATAAATTACAATTATATGAATTACATTAGCAAAGTTTTTAAAAGAAATACAACCCCACCCCCCATTTGAAACTTCTTTTTCAAAATCCTGTCCTATCCATGTCATGACATTCCCCTACGGATTGGCATGGTTGAAAAAATATGGAAAGAAATAATGAGTTGTGTTGATATAAAATAAATGCTTTTAAATAATAAAACTATTGCTTTTTTCTAACTCATATCTTTAGTTTCTGTGGTTTATTGTTGTAAAAACAAAACAAGAAGAATTGCTTCTTATTCTGCCTTGACTTGTGAATGAGCAGCAGGATATCATAAACATATAAATAATTGATAAATAAAAAAGTAGGGAATATGAACCTCTGATGCCTAACTAGTTCTGAACTAGAAATAAATCTGCAGTGCACAAAGCACGCCAGCAGATGGCAGGCACAAGTAACCTAAGCAGTCTAAAGGTATGTGGGGATTGAAATAAAGTGGAAATTCTAACTGGATTTCTGCTTGAAAAATGGGGAGTCTCATTTGATGGTCTCATTGATATGTCATGCTGAAATGAGTGTGAGCAGGTGGAAAGGGAATTCATTGCACCCTGAAGAATCCTGTTTTTAAGTTTTGATTTTAATTAATTTGTTTATTTTAAAAGCAGAGAAGAAAAAGATACATGAACATGACACAATAAAGACGTGGGAAACAGTAGTGGGATTCAAATTTTTTTACTACCGGTTCTGTGGGCGTGGCTTGGTGGGCGTGGCAGGGGAAGGATACTGTAAAATCTCCAGACACTGGGTGATATTTGCTGGTTCTCTGAATTACACAAAATTTCTGCTACTGGTTCTCCAGAACTGGTCAGAACCTGCTGAATACCACCTCTGGTGGGAAAGCTTATAGAGTAACATAAGGCATAAAGCAGGGTGGTTCAGCTGTCAGGCATTGGTGCAGAATGCAACAGTGCGAACTATTAATGGGACCCCTAAAATGGCCCGTGTTGCCATGGTTATAACCTTTAAAGCCCTGCGTGGCTTAGGTTCAGATAACTTGATGAACTGTCTCATCCCACTAAGACAGGGTTGCTCAAAGAACTCGGCTGGTGGGATCCAGGAGAGGAGCCTTTTTTTTTTTTTTTTTGCCTTAGTGCCATCCCTTTGGAACATCTTACTCCCTGGGGTGAGTCTGTCTCTACCCTCCTTCTGGAAGACCTGGATCTGCTGGTAGCCCTGGTGACCCAATGAGGGGAGTGCTAATAGACTAATAGCAGATCCCTACCTCCCCCTGTGCACATCCTTTTTAATTCATATTGCTGTTATTTTTGTTTTGTTTTTGTTATATTTACAATGTTATTTTTTTAAAAAAAATATAATTTTATATTCTACTGTTATAATCCTTTTAAGAGTAGCCTCTATGACAAGATGAATGTCAAATAAATGTAATAAATTAATAAGTTGGAGCCAGGATGTTAGCAGAGTTGCTCTGGCACTGAAGAACGTGTAGTTGTTTGTTTTTTTATTGAGTCTCAAAGCAATTCTAGTAGGTTTAATTAAATTTTCTGATTTTCTTTTTTTTGATGCTCATTCTTGGCTACATAAATTGGATATATAAATCCCCTCTACCTCTTAGAGATCAGAGAAGCCAGAAGGTGGCATTTGCTACCTAAAGAAATGAAAAGGATAGGACAGAAATCCCAAATAATGACTCAGTCCCTGTAATGACTGTTCTGCGCTGCATTCGTTTTAAGTGCTTGTTAATGTCATTTATTTTCAGTGGGCTATATTTTTTATCCAGTTCTTCCCAAGTACCTGGATAGGCAGATAGTGTTGCTTGATGGCATTATCACGGAATGTAAGCTGGTCCAAGTTTTATTAAGTGTAGGAAATCAGGGCTTCAAGTTCTTTAGCTGAGGTTGGCCTTCATACACATCAAGTTCTTCCCAAGAACCTAGGATGTCATAATATATGTTCAGGATCCAAGAAGTGTTATCTGTCAAATGGGAATTTTGTCAATGCAGATATTTTTTTAACTGCTGTCCAAGATTTTTTGGTATGGCCCCAAGTGTGCTGATAACTAAGTTAGCCCTTGACACACAATTCATTTGCAACCATTCAAAGTTACAATGTTAGTAAAACAGTGACTTTTGACCACAACTGTTATGGCACCTCTATGGTCACATAATAAAAATTCAGATGCTTGGCAACTGACTCATATCTATGACATTCTGGAGTCATGTGCGGCCTTCTGATAAGCAAAGTCAATGGGGAAGCCAAATTCATTTAACAACTGTGTTATTTACTTTACCAACTGCAGTGATTCACTTAACAATTATGGCAAGAAAGATTATAAGGTTATAAAATATGGCAAAGCTCAGCAAATGGCTCAGTTAGCAAGACATTTTGAGCTCAATTTGATCATAAGTCTAGGACTACCTATACTAGATCAGATGGCTGGTTTATGCCACGATCTTTGAATTTTCAAGTCTTATTACTTTGTGATCTTCTCCAATTCTGTTTTCTATTCTATTATCCCATTATTGCCTGATGAATTATCCATATTTTCTTCTTTTAAGCCACGGTGAAATCTGGTGTCACAAGCCAAGATTTCATCAATTTGTATTCAGAAATCTTGGCATTAAGGCAATCACCATTGGTTGTTTTCAGTATTGTTTCTTACAAACTGCTGCTTGACGGTAAAATGCATGCATACTTTATAGTATACCCAAGGTCAGTCATGAGACGGGAGGCCATATAAATTTAATAAATAAAAAAAATAAAAAAACATTGTGTAGAGAATAGTGTATGCAACAAAATCTGAAGCAAAATATTATATCCAGTTTTAATTATTTGCTTTTGCAGGAACATACATATGAAACTTGCTAGCAAGTTATTCTCGCCATCTCAAAGCTTAATAAGGTTTCATGAAAGAGAAAATGCATTAGAAGTTACAGGATTCCATAGAATCTAAATACTGACAATGTGAAATTTATTTAACAATTCAATCTTAAATTGTAAAGTCTCCATATTATGTTATGAACAAGTAGCAGCAACAAAGTAGCAGAAATTCTCACAAAAAAAAGATTTATGGAAATTCGCTATTAAAAAATTACACATTTTGCTTAACTCTCAAATTTATTTACAGATTTAAAATACGTTTTATACACCTCAATTTACATATGAGGGCAACCAAAGTAAAAGCAGTTTTACAATAGGAGGAAAACTTTAGAAAGCACTTTGCGTAATTAAAATATATGATTTCCCAAATGTGCTAAACATGCTGCATTTGCACATCTTTTACTGTTTATTGCTAAAAAAAGTATACATTTGTAATGAAACAGCATAGCAGTTTGGAATTCCAATAACGAAATGAACTTGAAGTTCTTCCAAGTTTACTATATGGAAAAAGCAGAAAAGAATTCCATTGAAATACTGGGATTGCTAAAAGAAAATGAATTATCTACAAATTCAAATGAAATTGGACTGTCAACAAGGCATCAAAACGCCTTATAAGCCCTAATTCAAAATCCAATTCTTTTGTTTTATTTTTGTTGTTGTTTTATTTTTCTCACTGAGAATTTTCTTTCTTTTTTAAAATTAGTGTAGGACTTAAAATTGTAGAGAGCCATCTATTAAACAACTTAAACCTCCCTGTAAAGCAGTGTAATTATTATTAGCAATTCTCAATTGCTATAGTCAACCCAACCCTAATCTCAGTTTTTAGAACATCTCTTAATTGTCACTTAATATCTTAATGGCATGTGCCATCAGATTAAATGGATTAAAATTTTGAAATCAAAAATTGTACTTTTTAAAAAGGGCCTGCCAAGTACACAATGACAGACTCAAATTTCCATAACTATTCTCCATTTAAAAAGTTTCACAGGAGCACTAAAATCACACCTCCATAAAATTGAAAACATTTCCCCAACACTATCTCAGAGGTGACAATGCAATTTTTCTAGTTGTAAAAAATATTACTGTCCAGTGAACTCACTTGCTCACTCACTCTTAAGTTCTATCTCCAGAATAGATGAACATTATTATTTTTGTGCCCATTAGAGTACAAACTCCTTATCTCACTTATTGAAGGTCAACTGGAAGACAGAGCACAATTACTACAGTATAGTGCCTGCCCTAAAGTTCCTGTAGTATGATAAATTATGAATGAAGGCTTTATAAAATGTTGGTTTAGAAACAGAAGGGTTACTTTCGTGTAACTGTATGTTCTGCAGTTTCAAATGCCCCCAGTTCGCAGAGTAACACCAGAAGTTATCAGTTCCTTTGCTTATACACTCGAACAAGCTAGCAGTGAAGGTATATCAATTCACTCTTTTGTTTTAGCATTCAGGATTTCTAAAGCAGGTGAACCCGACAAATTACTTTTATAATCTCGCTTCTAAGAAAAAACAAATAATAGGTAGTCCTTGCTTACTGACTACCTTGTTTAGCAACTACCGTGTTTCTCATATAATAAGGCTGGGTCTTATTTTTTTTTGAGCCCTGAAAAAATGGCTAGGCCATCTTAATTCCCCTTGCATCTTCGGGCGGGCGGGCGGCGATGGCTTGGATGTTGACCTTGGCGTTGGTGGGGCACTTCGTATCGGGGTCAACGCAGGCAGCACCATATCCGGGTGTGCAACAAAAGTACTTCCTAACGGCAAGCCATCCCACCATTCCCCACATTTCACATGTTTTAATATAGGCCTTAATGTGGGGGGAGGGGCTTAATTTCATTTCATGCCTATAAAACATGCTGGGACTTCCTATTGGGGGAGGCCGTATTGTTGTAGAAACAGGGTACTTGAAGTTACAGTAGCTGGAAGAAAAATATCTTTGCAACCAATCCTCAGATTTACAATTGTTTCAGTATCCCATGACCATGTGACCACTATTTGCAAGCGTCACAACCGACTTTCAACCAGCAGAATGGAGAACATGGAAGTGAAATTGTAATACCCAATCAATCACACGATGTCTCGCTTAATTAAAGCAGTGAAGAATCAGGATTATTCATAAAGTTGCAGCATAGAAGATTTAGTCCAACCTATAGAAAAGAATCTGGTCAACTAATGATCAGCACTAAATTAGTGCTAGATAAGGATCATCAGAATTCAAGAAGGGCTGGACTTGGATCTCTTGTGGCAATGCAAGGATTTTAAACTGATGACGTTTAACTCCACCTCCCAGATTTGCCTTTTTGACTCTTACATTTGTTCGCAACCAAAAATGGAAGTGACATCATAAATCTGACAGAGTCATGATTTTTCACATAGTGACTGCAGCACTTAGCAACAGAGCTGTTGGTTTCAACTGTAATCAGTAAGTGAGGACTACCTGTAAGGGGAACAAAAGCTCACAAGACAAGTTGTTTTATCTTTTGAAAATATGATTATTAGCACACATACATCCAGCAGGAAAGAAAGTTACACTGTATAAAATGGCCACTACTTTGACTGTTAGACAGCTTGACAAGGAAGTTATCTCACTTCAAGTTTTTTGCCTTCTAAAACGATCTGAATTTCTTTGGCATCCAAGGTCTCGTAGGTTAATAAAGCTTCTGCTAAATTCTTGTGTTCTTTTGCATGGGCCTTCAAGATACTCTTTGCCCGTTCATATGAATCCTACCACAAAAAAGGCAAATTAAGAAAGATAGCAAAAAAACAACAACAACACTGGAAATGAAAAAAAGCTAAGATTAACCACTAACATTATTTATAATTAATCTAAAACATTTGTAGCTTATTCAAATATGCTTCATACAAATACATCAGGTCCTCTTGAAGTGTATTTCAACACAACCAAGGAATGGAATAAAAAGTATAAAGTATAAACATTCATAAAAATAATTTTAAAAACTAGCAGAGGAACAAGCAAGTTCAATTATTGTCATTTTTGAACTTATATATACAGAATCTCAACTTTACTGATATAATTTATAATTTAATTTATAAGCAATAAATTAAAGTAGTAGCCACGTAACATACTGTTTTAGATCCTTAGCTCTGATTAATTTTTATAGTACATCATATTAATACATTCAACAAAATTAAGGATCTAGAAAGTATCCACTTTTTGAATCAGATAATTAAAATGTTTACCTTTAAAAGAGATCTTATTTCTTGTTCAATTGCAGATTGGGTATCGGGGCTAAAAGTTGTTGTCTCTCTATAAGTCATAACACCAAGCTTATGGAAAAAGAAAATGATTTGAGAGAGAGAAGAAAATGCTTATTTATTTAGCATTTTCAAAAAATCAAATGCAGCATAATTGTTAGATAATGTGATCACCACGCATCAGGTAAGAAATATAATTTTATCCCATGAATTTTGAATCATCTGACCACTGGGTCTTATTCATATTTGAGAGCAACTCATCATTTCAAAATTGACTTGTTTATTTGAACAAAAAAACCCCACCAATACTGCCGTTCTATATTTGTTTAAGGGTATATCTGTGGGACTTTTTTCTTTTGTGTGACTAGAATTGCACAGTGGAGGTGATTGTTTGATTAACAACACATTCCATCTGCTCCCATCCTGCTCTTCCCTGTCTTTTAATTGGTTTGTAGTGTCTGGATTTTGAATTAAGTTATTTATGTTTTAATTTATACAGTTTTTTATCTTTTATAATTATAAGCCACCCAGAGTTATCTTGAAGTAAGATGAGCAGCCAATCAATCAATCAATCTTAATTAGTTACATGTGTTACATATAATTAATTTTAAACAGGTTTATGAGTCATCCTTAATAACTTGTTTTCATTTCAAAAACTTTCAAAGATTCATGCATTTAAGCCATCTAATTGTAAAATAAATGCAAAGAAAGGGAACATAACATTACTTAGAAGTTCAGCAATGTCTTTTTTTTGTTTCATCCTAGTTTAAGTACCCAGTCTGAAATGCTGCAAGAAAAATGAGTCTACTAGCAGTCAAATTCAGGGATGCAGTGGCTCAGTGGCTAAGACGCTGAGCTTGTTGATCAGAAAGGTCGGCAGTTTGGCGGTTCGAATCCCTAGCACCGCGTAACCAAGTGAGCTCGTTACTCGTCTCAGCTTCTGCCAACCTAGCAGTTCGAAAGCATGTAAAAATGCAAGTAGAAAAATAGGGACAACTTTGGTGGGAAGGTAACAGTGTTCCGTGCACCTTTGGTGTTTAGTCATGCTGGCCACATGACCACGGAGACGTCTTTGGACAGTGTTGGTTTTTCGGCTTTGTAACAGAGATGAGCACCACCCCTTAGTGCCAGAAACGACTAACACGTATGTGTGGGGGGAACCTTTACCTTTACCTAGCAGAGATAGGCAGAATTACCTATCAAGTAAATAAATGACTTGTGTCTTGTTTGCTACTTGCTTTGAAAGAGCCCATCAGCTGCAACCATCACTTTTTTGATCTTCCTCATCCTCTCAACCCATTCACTCTTCCTTCATATATTTCTTTTGCAATTTAGTCCACATTCATTCTCTTTCTATGAGCAAATGTATTGCTTGTGCACTGGTCACTCACTTTTGTATTCAATTCACATACATTCATCACCTATTTGTTGTTATTTTTAAAAGTCAGTTTAGTTTCCATTCATAAGCATTCACTCAGGTAACATGCCTCTCTTTGGCTTTCTATCTCCAATCACAATTAGCAAGAAAAGCTGCCTATGACTTTGTATGACCAGGGCTGATAATCTGGGCTACACGTTCTCTATCCTATTAAAAAATGTTAAGTTTTATGTGATCTCCAAGATTGATATGTTTCTCCTTAACAACTCTATCCTAGAAAAGAGCATCAGGCTATCTAATATATTGCTCTTATAAGTTGTTGGATCTGTATTTATTTTTTTCAGTGTCCAGATAAATTGGTAAGAGCGCTTGCTGATGGTTATTTTCTATTGATAAATACAGTTCCGTAGATTAAAAAACACCAATATTTAAACAAAATTAGACAAGGGCCTGTATGTATCTAGAAATTAAAATTATTGGATGCTTCCATCTAGCAACATTGTATTTGCTCAGTTGATTTCTTCCTCCTCCTCCTGCTGTTGCTTTAAATCTGTCAATCGGAGTCTTGCATAACTCTTTATGTACCACTAAACTGAGAAGACCATGTATTGTGCTTAAACAAATGTCCCTATTCCTCTAGCATCCTCTTCTTTCACATTTAGCGACTCCTGACTTTGAAACTTGTTGAAATAACTTTGTTTTTAAATACTGTAGGAAAATAGTATAATCTCATGCATTCAAGCTACACTATATTTACTCCATAAGAACAAACCTTTATGCATTCAGAATGTATTCAAACCTCCTTCATTGTTGTCAATTTTGTTAGGCTGCAGCCTGATTCTACAGTTGTTGACATTCATTTTTTGTCATTAATCTACACTCAGTACCCCACAATGACAAAGTGAAAACAGAATTTTAGAAATGTCTGTAAATTTGTTAAAAAGAATTTTTTTTAAATATCACATTGGCATAAGTATTCAGATCCTTTTCAACACATGAAATTTAACTAAGACGCCTCCCATTTCTCTTGATCATCGCTGACATGTTTCTATACTTTGATTGGAATTAATCTGTGGTAAATTAATTTGATTGGACATGATTTAGAAAGGCACATACCTCTTTATAGAAGGCTTCACAGCTGACAATGCATATGGTAGCAGAGCAAAAGCCATGAGGTCAAAGGAACTGCCTGAAGAGCTCAGAGGTAGAATTATTGCAAGGCACAGATCTGGCTATAATCAAATTTCAGGTGCACTGAAGTTTCCTAAGAACAGTGGCCTCCAGAATTCTTAAATGGAAGAAGTTTGGCACAACTAGGACTCTTCCAAGAACTGGTCACAATCTAGTCACACAGCAATTGGTGAAGGAAGGTCTTAGTAAGAGAGGTGATCAAGAGCCTGGTCGCTCTGAGCTCCAGAGATCCTGCATGGAGATGGGACAGAGTTCTAGGACAACTATCACTGTAGCCCTCCATTGATCTGGGTTTTATGGCAAACTGGCTAGATGGAAGCCTCTTCTCAGTTCAAAACACATGAAAGTCTGCTTGGAGTTTGCAAAAAAGCACCTGAAGGACTCTCAGACTGTGAGGAACAAGATTCTCTGCTCTGATGAAAACCAAGATTGAACTGTTCGGCCTCCATTCTAAATATTATGTCTGGAGGAAACCACTCATCACCTGTCCAATATCATCCCAACATGAAGCATGGTGATGGCAGCATCATGCTGTAGGGGTGTTCTTCAGGAGCAGGAACTGGATACTGGTCAGAGTTGAGGGAAAGCAGGATGGAGCATAGTACAGGGATATTCACAATGAAAACCTGTTCCACAGTGCTCAGGATCTCCGACTGGGCCGAAGGTTCACTTTCCAACATGATAATGATCCTAAGCACACATCCAAGACAACACAGTTGTCAACTCTGTGAATGTCCTAGAATGGCCCAGCCAGAACTCTGATTTGAATCTTATTGAACATCTCTGGAGGGACCTGAAAATGGCTGTTCACGGATGGTCACCATCCAACCTGAATGACCTTGAGAGGATTTGCAAGGAAGAATGACAGAAAATCCCACAATCCAGGTGTGCAAAGCTTGTTGCATCATACCCAAAAAGACTCAAGGCTGTAATTGCTGCCAAAGGTGCTTCAACAAAGTACTGAGTGAAAGGTCTGAATACTTATGCCAATGTGATATTTCAGTTTTTTTCTTTTTAATAAATTTACAGACATTTCTAAAATTCTGTTTTCACTTTGTTGTTATGGGGTACAGAGTATAGATTAATGAGAAAAAAAATGAATTTTAACTGTAGAATCAAGGATGCAGCATAACAAAATTGACAAAAGGGGTCTGAATATTTTCTGACTGCACTGTATACCTGCACAACTACAACATAAAAATATTTCATTGCAAATTCATTATAAAAAGAGTACATGTAATTGTACCTTGTCACTCATTCCAAATCTGGTTACCATGAGTTGTGCTATCCTAGTAGCATTCTCAAAGTCATTAGAAGAACCTAGGTAATTATAAAAAGCATAACGTTAATTTGTAAAAGCTAAAGTCCTTACATATGAATTATGAAAGTTCTTGTTTTGACTAGGAATGCACAAAGTACTTGAGTAATCTGTACCTGAGCTAAAATTTCTGTTATAAGTGCATGAGTCCAATTAATTTGGGTCATACAACCAAATGCAGTTGTTCCAGGGAGAAATGTTCAGAGAAGCGAATGCAAGAAAAGACCAGGATGTATGAGTGGGACCATGAAGAAGGGAAGTGAAATATTGGGAAGATTGGAGAATGAGTAGATATATAATTGTGCTGTGCTGGGACACTGACAGTGATTACTGAAGGAGGCAAGAAGGAAGATAGCTGTTGGGGTAAGCCAAATTGAGACACTGGTAACAGTTGAGGAGGAAGGGAAGGCATTAGGAAAATCGTGTGGACAGTGATATATGCAACACCAGAAGCTGCTGAGAGAAAACCAGGAGTGATGCATACTAGCCTTGCCTTAGTCATCTTGTCTGTTGCATCTAAAACTAAAGTGGGTTCTGGTTTGATAAAACTGTAACTGACCCAAAAAATTCTATACAGGTAGTCTTAGACTCATGACCACAGTTAAGATCCAAATTTCCATTGCTAAGTGAGTTTTGAATGAGATTTGTCTCATTTTATGGCTTTTCTTGCAACAATTGTTAAGTGAATAACTCTAGCTGCTAGTTTAGTAACATGCTTATTAAGAGAATTTGACATTGACTTTGTCAGAATGTCAGAAAGTTGCAAAAGATGGTCACATGACCCCAGGACACCGCAACTGTCATAAATATGAGCCAATTGCCAAGCCAAATTTTGATACGTGACCATAGGGACGCTGCAATGGTCATAAGTCTGAAAAGTGATTGTAAGTCATTTTTTTCAGTGGCGTAACTTTGAATAGTCACTAAACAAATGGTTGTAAATTGAAGGCTAACTGTATAATCCCAGAGAAAGAACTGTTCCAAGTTTGAAACAAAACACATTTTTTCCATTCTGTGCACACTTTAATTTTGACTAACCTGTTGTGATGTGATCACTGCCAAATATGAGTTCTTCTGCTACTCTTCCTCCCATACTGACATCCATCTGGGCAAGCAGCTGAGACCTAGTTTCATTCCATCTGTCACTTTCTGGCAACAAGGAAACCTTTGATACAAAATTACACATTAAGTTGAGCAAAACCAATAAATCAGGTTTTATGGCTGCCAGATTATTTGTTCTACTTGCTAAAGTGATAATGCTTAAGGATTCTAAGTGCCTTGACATTTTTGAGCCCTCTGCAGGCACTTCTTGTTTGTAAAATATGCTGTTTTCTCACAGCATATTTTGCAAGTAAGAAATCCATGAAGGGCTCCAAAAATATCACAAAGACATTTGCGTTGTTATGGTATATCAAAAGGGTTTGAGATGAAGTGTTGTCACACAAAATCAAATGAGATGAGCAATTGCCAATATTCTTGCTTATTGTCTTACCTCACTATTTCCTAAAAACCAAATCCAGCACATTTGATAGTGGGACTGGCAGATAGCATGTTTATGGAAAGGAACTAGAAAATATTGTAACTTTAAAGAAATGTACTAAACACTTCTGTTTTCAAAATAATATATATAGTTACAATAGATAACCCAATAAGAAATAATTCTTTATAATACAACTGTTTACTGTTATTAATAATTTTCAGTTAAGTTTACTTTGTAAATAAATAATCCTTGTAACTTTGCAGTCTAAAGTCCTACAGTGTTATACAAAACTGTGCCGAGGTAATTAATGTGCAGCAATCTTGAAACAATTGAAACTGATGAAATGCGCTCCCTGAATCTTACCAATAAAAACCACTATGATAAGTTAACATATTAAGCTTTAAATCATAACTATTTAAATAATGTGACTTAATGCCCAAGCAACCCAGTTCTTTTAAGGAATATCTTAGAAAAAAACTATCTTTGAAGTCTTTGGCATTGTAGTGAGAAGAAATTTCTAAGACCAGATAGTTGTAAAAATTGTTAAAACTATAGAGCTATACACAATACCAAATTCAAAGGAGGAAAAATGTATACAGTACAATTATATAACCCATCAAATTACATACTAAACGAATCCCTTCAAACTTAAAGCACTGCACAGCCCTATTAAAATCAACAAGGTAGGCAGTGTTGTCTATTATTCAAATCTTACATGTCCAAGTGTTGGTCCTCGTGGCATAATTGTGGCTTTATTGATTGGCATAGCATCTTTAGTGTAATATGCAATAATGGCATGCCCAGATTCATGATATGCTGTAATTGTTTTATTTTTGTCACCAATTTCTACACTTCTACGCTCAGGACCTGAAATTAAAAATAAACCAAGAGAACTTTAACAAACTATCAATTACAATATATTGATAAAAACTGAACAGTATCTATCTCCCTTTCAGGATTTTAGTGATTCACTTATGTTGTATTCATTCCCTTTCCTCTTGTTACCTGCCACCTGTCCCTTTGCCAGTCAGTATTCCACTAACAATTAACATCCTTAGGATTGCTTTTTTTCCACTCCCTTCCATCGTTTCATTTTTTCTAAGGTAGTCTACATTTCTATAAATCCCAGGTCTATATATCATGTATAAAAACTTCCATTTTGTATATAATTGATACTGACAATCAGAACTCAAAGATTTGTGTCCACTCTGGATTTGCTGGACGCTTATTACATTTGAGAGGCTTCAAGGTTGCATTTCAGGCTAGGTTTATTTTTGCAGATATATTATAAAGCAAAAATGGCAATGGACAGAGAAACACATGGCAGTCTGTTTGTTATAGATGGTATTCACAGAAGATATTTACAACAATGATAACAACAAACAGTGCAAGTGTGTTAGGTAACTTCCCATGTCTCCCTACCAGGGGCTTTCCCCCTCAACTTCTCCTACTTCCTCTCCCTTTCTGCCTCCCTCTTCCCTTTCTAGGGTTGATAAGAGAGAGAAAAAGAAAAATAATGTGGAGTGTGCTCAGCACTGCTTGACTTTTGTCCAGCTTAGGCAAAACATTATCCATTTAGGGGAGAACCATTTTTAGGGTTCTGCTAAACCACAGCTTATTCTAAATCTCCCATATAAACAGCTTGGTAAAAGCCTCATGACTTAACCCAGCTACCTTTCATGGCCAACATAAACTCCATGTCTTCTTCACACCAGCAGCACTTATGGCAGGCCACAAAATCTATATATGCCACACAGGCACAGCATAGAAAAGTCTTAAACACAGAGCCTAAAACAAACCTCTTATATTCCCTGCATCTCATTCTCTCAATAGCATTATTTATAAGGTCTATTTAATTAAACTTATTTCTGAAAGTTAGTATATAAATATTATAACAATTGTGTGATTTCCCTGAAAATAAACAATCCAAATAAATATTTCTTTTAACTCACTAATGCAATTCAACATATGTAAGAATCTCATGTCTCTGTAAAATATATCTCATAGAGTGATTCTGTAAATTTTTATATAACTTGATCACATGCAATGACCCAAATTTATCATTTCCAAAAGATCTTTCATGTGATGTCACATGTGATCTAATTAACACAATTATTTAGCAAACATATATGCACATCTTTTTTCCTGATTAGTCTGTTAAGATGAGGATTTATTATATTATACTATTTTATATTGTATTATATTAAAATAAAAATTACTGTTATCACTAAGTCAAAAATATATAAGTAAGTGATTTTAAAATATACTACCTACCCATGACAATTTTGTCCTTTGCAAATTCTAGCTCCTTCATAGTAACCATGTCCTTTTCATCAATTGCTGCTTTTAATGCAGCTTGATTCACAAGGTTTTCCAATTCAGCTCCGGAAAATCCTACTGTCCCTCTTGCAATGATTTCTGGATTAATGGCTGTATAAGACACATTTTTGCATTTGTCAATCCACACTGATGTTAATATTCAGGCAAGTCAGCATACACAATAAACATAAAGATGCAGTTTTGCATTGCATACACTATTTAAGATGATCCAGCTTTAAGAATTTATCATCTTTATAATAATAATGTGTGAATAAGAACTGTGACATGAGAAACAAATAGAATTGTTCAAATGATTGAACAAATTTCCTTTCCTTTTCTTAAAAATATTAGGCAATTCTTCGGTGCAGCAAAGTTTTGTATAAGTTTTTAATTCAGTTTTCACTTGATAAAATTTAGTTGTAAGGATAATTTAAAAATCCTTAAATAGCAGACCTCTAGCCTTTAACTGAGCATGTTCTAATAAGCACAAATATTCATATTAACGAGAAGATCTTGTATCTCAATCAATATGCAGCCAGCTTGCTAGCAATTCCCTAACGTTTTTATTTTAAAAATGCAGCACTTACACTTATCATATTTTATTTTATTCAGATACCATTTCAAAATTTCTGTTCGTCCCTTGACATCTGGTCTGGGAACTGTAACTTGCATGTCAAAGCGGCCAGGGCGTAACAAAGCACTAAATAGGGGAGGAAAAAAATATTGTGAATGATTTCCATGTATGATAAACCATATGAAGAATGGCTGCAGGTTTTGGGTCTGGCTAGTCTAAAGAAAAGAAGTATTAGGGGTGACATGATAGCAGCGTTCCAGTATTTGAGGGCTGCCACAAAGAGGAGAGGGTCAAATTATTCTCCAAAGCACCAGAGGGCAGGACAAGAAACAATGGTTGGAAACTAATCAAAGAGAGAAGCAACCTGGAATTAAGGAGAAACTTCCTAACAGTGAAGACAATTAACCAGTGGAACAGCTTGCCACCAGATGTTGTAGGTGCTTCATCATTGGAAGTTTTTAAGAAAAGACTGGACAGCCACTTATTTGAAATGGTATAGGGTCTCCTGCTTGAGCAGGGGGCTGGATTAGAAGACCTCCAAGGTCCCTTTCATCTCTATTCTATTCTATAATCTTGGTTATTTTTTATATTAAAATATTAATATAAGAATAAAAGGCAATATAATAAGAAAAGTTGCTAGTGCATTTGTAATTTCCACAGTCATTTTGCACAATTACATGCTTTCCACAGAAAATCTCACAATAATTGTAAGCACAAGAATCTCTTGCAAAACTACTTAAGGACTAACATTACACAGCTACATTTCAAGAGTACTAACTGCATTTAAATCTGTTTTATTTTCAGTTAAGAGCTTCCATTTAGAATGGTTGCTCCAGCAAAATATAGCTATTTTCTTAATTACTTAATTGTGAAGACAAGGAATATTGACAAGATTATTAATTATGCATCCTTATTACTGACCTAAACTACCAAAATCATATTCACACAAAATCAAATAATGCTATTTTACACACATATGCACATGCACACAGACATACTTATCTAGTGCTTCAGGGAAATTTGTTGCACCAATGATAATGATTCCTTCATTAGACTTAAAGCTTCAAAAGAAAAAGAAGTAATTAATATACTTATAGTTATTATTCCATAGCTATTTAGATCTAGCAAGTCATATTTCGTTCAGTGGGTTTTCACAGAATGTTTCTTTTATTTTATAGGGCAAATCTAGTAGTAGAGGATTTTTTCCCCAGTTGAAATGGAAATTCCTTGATCATGTGACTTTGTGCATCATACAATAACTATTTTTAGTCATATTCAGTGCATGCAATAGCAGCCAATACCAGCTGAATTTTAACAAAAGGATAGTTCAACTTTTAAAATGAAGGAAATAGGGGAAAAACCTGAAAATTAGTTTTTGAATACAGATGTACATGCTTGGGGAATTGTTAGAAATTACAGACCTTGTATTAATATAGGCATTGTAATGAGCAAATTTCTCAAAGTATCAGACAGCTGCTTTTCTTATATAAGGTTCAAAATACTTAAGCTGAATCATTTTTAATAATGCAAACCTTTCACCTATGCGTGATTTTAATATTACTTCCCTACTTGAATGTCTGCACTGTCCTTAATTCTTGAGTAGGATTTTGCCCTCACCACAAATCCCCAAAATCTAGATATTTAAGCACAGAAGACAGTTTATGGATTCTATGGCAAAAAGAAATAACCTTTCTTCCTAAGAAAAACAAAAAGGTTTCTCAATTTTATGGGCCATGTTCCTCTTCTAGACGTCCACAAAACATTTGAAATCCAAAATGTTTTGTATAACTTGGTTCAACACCCACTGTTCTTACTAAAATAAAACTAAAATTTTAGTTAGAAGAAGAATTAACACTTACCCATCCATTTCAGCAAGGAGCTGGTTTATAGTCTGCTTTGAGTAAGGATGCATTGGAGATTCAACTCGTTTGCCACCAACCGAATCCAACTCATCGATGAATATAACACTAGGTGCATTTGCTTTAGCTTCCTCTAAAAAAGTAACACATTAAATTCTTTAGAACCTTTGTCTCCATTGGGTTTCAGTGCAAAAGTCAGGAGGTTTTTCTGACTATCATTATGTATTTTCTTTATTCACAAAAGCTATTCTCTGAATAAACCCCATACCAATGGAGTTATTTTTTTCACTTACATTTTCATTTACAATGGAGACACTGCAAATAATCTGAAAGATAATACATTTGAATTTTTGTGATGTTCACAAATTTCTAATGTAGTTAACAAAAATATATATGTTACCCATTTACTAATAAGGAACTGATGCTATTTACTAATAAGCTATTGAAGACATTGATGCTATTTTCACTAAAGGGATTCAAGGGAAAACCCGAACTTACTAAATAGATTTCTAATACGGCTGGCTCCCACTCCAACAAACATCTCATCAAACTCAGACCCAGAAGCGTAATAGAAGGGAACATCAGCTTCTCCTGCTACAGCCCTGGCAAGCAGAGTTTTGCCAGTACCAGGTGGGCCTACCAACAGAACACCTAGAAAGATATAAGAATGAAAAGAATATCAAGCTAAAGTATACAAACTGTATTGTTATCAATATTGGTCCTGAGTTCTGTAATTTTTTAAATAAGCATTTATTAGTAACAAGTACATTAGTCTCGGTTTACTGACCATTCGTTCAGCAACTGTTTGTAGTTGCAACAGTGCTGAAAAAATAACTTAACGGGCAATTTATGACCCTCAGTTATGCGACTGCCATTTTTGTTCCTCCTTGTGGATCGAAAAGAAAGAGTAAAGTGTTAAAGTGTTTGCTCTCCTGTACATCAAAATCAGTGTGATCATGTGGTAGCAATCAGCAAATCTCTTTCTATCCAATCTCTGCTGGGAGGGGGACAAAATATTTCTGTAGGCAATCTCGCCTGCCCCTTTCGTCCCCACTCCAAGATTTAAAACCAGCTTGATAATTCAGAATAAGAACAAATTATTTGAATGTACATCAGACATTATCTTAAATGCATCTGATTTACAAAAAATCATGTAAGATTAGACTACACTGTAATAGTAAGGAAAGGTTCACACTTACCTTTAGGGAGTTTACCTCCTAGAATGGTAAATTTCTGGGGATTTTTCAGAAATTCTACAATCTCCTGTAACTCTTGTTTAGCTTCATCTACCTGAATGCAATTAAGAAGATACTATTGAAGGCTATAATAATTTCATACTAATATGCTTCCGACATGTTAATTATATAGTCTTGCATAAAGTTACTTTTAAAGTTATTTCCTTTAATGTAACTGTTAAATGGGATTTTACTTCATTATGCCATTTAACACATTAAGCATGACATTTCTGTATTATCCAAGGTGGTGTATTTCTAGGCAAAATCAGAACAGAATGGATTATTTAAAAAAAAAAATCCCCACTGGATACTATCAGTATAATAGCAATATCTGTAGCCCATGAGAGAAATTTTGGAAGAAATAAGATAAGATAAATTTATTGTCATTGTACTCAGAACCTGAGAACAACGAAATAAGGTGCTCTTTCATATTTACTAGCATTAAAAATATTGTGAAAAACAATTACTCATGTACACTTGGTAAAAAGGGAAATTGAATTAATTGCTTCATTAACTTTTTGGAACAGTGCTGATAGAAGCACAAATCAAATCCTGTGAGTTTATATTAATGCTTAAATAATTTGGAAAGTGAAAAATAACAACTTCCTCTGATTATATGTTCTTAAAAACTCATTAATGATTCAAGTTAAATAGTGGATTCCATTATAAAAGAAGGTAACTGTAGAATACATCTGAGCAACATATATATATGATATATATATATATATTCTTAAGTTTTCGCGGGTACTTACATGTATGGTATTCAGCTTTGTTCGGGTATTTTCCCACGTCATAGTAGTGGTGCTTTTA